TTTGATACACTTTTCAAGTTTTTATATTACATACAATGGATAGGGCTAAATCAATTCTTATAACCTATTCATTTATTCATTATTAAACATTAGTTGAACATTTACTATATGCCAGGGACATGCTTTACACATTGGTCAGTGCCATATCATAGCAAAATTAATAACTTAAAGGTAAACCCCAATATTCAGCAGTTACCAAGGTTTAATAAGAAACCTCTAATTGCAGAATTCCATAGTAACATGAGGAGCCCGGTGGGGGTGCAGTGGTTAATACATTGGGCTGTGATCCGGATGGTTGGCAGTTCAAAACCACCACTAGCTCCTTGGGAGAATGACTGGGCTTTCTACTTCTGTCAGCAGTTACAGTCTTGGAAACCTACAGGGGGTTGCTATGAGTCTGTTGACTCAATGACATTGAGTTTGGTTTTTGGTTTATATTAATATGGGGAAGCCCTGGTGGTATAGTGGTTACGAGTTGGGCTGCTAACCGTAAGGTCAGCAGTTCAAGACTCCCAGTTGCTCCACAGGAGAAAGATGGGGCTTTTGACCTGTGTAAAGAGTTGCAGTCTCACAAACCCACGGTAGAATTCTGCTCTGTTCTATCAGGCCTTTATGAGTCAGAATGGACTCAACGGCAATGAGTTTGGGTTTGGGATAGTAGCCTGAAGCAAGAGCCCTGGTGGTGTAGTAGTTACGTGTTGGGTGTTGGGCTGTTAACCACAAGATTGGTGCTTCAAACCCACCAGAGCTCTACGGGAGAAAGATAAGGCTGTTTGCTCCCATGTACAGCCTTGGCAGCTCTGTATAACGCGTCCACTCTGTCACCATGAGATTTGATGACTCAATGGCCGTGGGTTCGGTTTGGTTTAGAGCAGTGGTTCTCAGCCTTCCTAATGCAATGACCCTCTAACACAGTTCCTCATGTTGGGGTGACCCCCAACCATAACATTTTTGTTGCTACTTCATAACTGTAATTTTACTACTGTTATGAATCAATGTAAATATCTGATATGCAGGATGTATTTTTATTGTTACAAATTGAACATAATTGAAGCATAGTGATTAATCACAAAACATGTAATTATATATTGTGAAGTATTTATTTCCAGTTACCAATGAATGAAATTTTGTCTTGCAGCATGGTGTGGTATGGGTAACAGTCTTCACATCAGCTACTTGTATGTGGGTGTATCTGCATGTGGGCAGACCCGCTTGGAGATGGATAGAGGAGCGGTGTCTTGGTTCCTAAGACCATCAGGAATATGTGTTTCTGATGGTCTTAGGCCACCCCTGTGAAAGGGTTGTTCAACCCCCAAAGGTATCGCGAGCTACAGGTTGAGAACCGCTGGTTTAGAGGAGGCTGGGGACATTGTATTTAATAGCAAAGCGAGCATGAACCAAAATGCAAATCTTTCGTGAAGATGACATACTACTGCTGGTTGAGTCATTTCTTTTAAGTTTGATCTTCCATTTTTCAAACTCTTAGAGGTCACTGTTGATGGTGCGTCTGCATTTAGGAATGTATGAGTCTCTGTTTTTCTGATTTCCATGCCAGAATGCATAACAGCTGGTTTGCTGAGCTTTTGTCTACTTATATCTTTAAAGCAAAACTGGTCGAAGAATGCCTTTACTGTATTTTCTTCCCTCTTAACAATTTTTATGTGCCAAGTGTATAAGGACTGAATTTCCTTTGTGTTGTTGTGGAGAAAGTGGCTTTCCTGAGATTACAAACTACAGTTACTCCTCGAAGTGCTGTTAGCTTTACTGGCGATTGTCTCTCAATCGGAGTATCTCACTGGAGCCCCCAGTGATACTTTGGAACAGATAACTCATTGTTGTGGGGGCTGGCTTATGTCTTGTCAGGTGTTTGCACCAACTAGATAATCACTAACCTCCTCCCCCAGATTGTGGCAAACAGAAGTATTTCTAGATAAAATATTTGCCGTGTTTTATTTTCTGTGTTTTTGAGCTTTTCCCAGTTAAGAACCAATGCTTTTTAAAAAAAACTTTTTGTTGTGAATTTGGGTGAAGGTTTGCATAGTAGACTGATTTTTCATCCAATACCTTATGCCCATTGTTTTCATTTTATTGATTGCAGTTCCTACAGTGTAACATCATTTACCCCAATTCCCCTCTGTGTTTTCCATTTGAATTCCTCCCTCTTCCTTAACCCTTTTGAGCATTGTTCCTTATATCTCAAATGTTTGACCCTTTGAAATGGGTACCTTTCTAGTCTTATTGTTCTCTTTATATACCTGTCTATGATTTTGCTGAAAATTAAGTCCTGGAAGTGAGTTTAGGTGACTACAGGCCACAGGCTCAGGGGTTCCACCAATCCCTTATCTAGTAAACCTGATCTTTTTTTATATAATCTTGAGTTCGGTTCACATTTCCCTTTCACTCCACCCAAGACCTTCTCATTGCTTCCTTTCAGAGTAGTTAGTAAGTGGTAGCTGGGCACCATCTAGCTCTTCTGGGCCCCATCTAGCTCTTCTGGGCCCAGGGTCTAGGTGGCTGAGGTTCTTGAAGATCATTAGTCCTTTGGACTGTTTGTTTCCATGTGTTTGTTATTTTATTCATTTTTGTTTGCACTGGATAGGGAGAAACCAATAGTTGCATTTAACATGGCTGCTCACAAGACCCCAGTCGCTACGGATGTAGAACATTGTAGAACATCAGCTGACCTTGATGGTCTCCTAAGACCATGATCCTAAGTCCACAGACCCAGTAACTCATGCCCTCGGGGTGTTTGGTTATGCCTACAAAGTTTTCATAATTTTTCCCTCTGGCTGCTCCAATACATTCAAGGGTATATTTGCAGCTTAGAAAAAGAAACCTGTATGTACTTGTGGATACAATCCTACCCTCTGTGCCATAGCCACTCAGCCTCCACAGGCAGATTATCATTACCGCAGGATTGTGTGTGTCACGGTATTTGCCTCTGTTGCTTTTAACTCTCCCATTCCTCCTAGTGTCTTCGCCATCTTCCCTCATTATTTTGTTGTCCTCCTCTATTGTCTGAGGAGTAATAAGTGTACATTATTGCACATCATTTCTGAAATTCAGATGTGTCTTACGATTGAAGGACATTTACCATACTGGAGCTTGGCATTTGACGCTTGCTACTTCTGGCCACTCTCCCATTTCATCCAGCCATTAAAAAAAGTATGGTACTTGCTAATTTCCCACTTTGCTTCCTCTTTAATTGTGTTCCCTGGCCGACTCTGGAGAGCCTGGGACACCCTGGACTACTAATGTGGGGGTTTTAATATGGATCAAACTTGCTGCAAGGCAATATGGATTTCTTTTGTCCATGACTTGACTTCTGTTATCTGTCATCTGTAGTAGCATATTTATTACAGATTCTTCTCGTCTTGAATGGATAGGAGCTTCTTTGACATCTAAGACACATCTTTAATAAAAGTAAACCTTTTCAGGGATAAAGTGTATCCCATGCTGGCTTTCTGGGCAGTATCTTCCCTTCATACAAATAAGTAATGCATTTCCCAAAGGATGGTGGCTTTGGTTTGATGAGATTCATAAAGTTCACAGAAGTCTACCAGCAAAAAGACTGGATTTGGACTCGGGGTCTGAGGTAGAGTTCTGACTGCCGCTTGCCAACGAATAGGATCGTTCCGCGGCTGTTCTGGGCCTCACTTTGTCTCTGCCCAGTGAGAGTTGGAGCAGCCGCTCTTCAGTCCCTTCCAGCTTTGAGGATATTGGCTGCTAAGTGCTTTGTGGAAATAGGAGGACTTTGCTTTAAGAACATAGCAGAAGGGATTTCATCCATTCCAGGTGGAATGCAGAGGGAGGCACTCGGGTGGGGGGTGGGGTCTTGAAGGGAAAGATTAGAGTTGGCAGCAGAGTTGGAGGAATGGCTATTTTAAGCAGAACAGACAGTACTAGTGAGGACATGGAGTACTTTTGGAGCCATTCGTAAACTTCAGACACTTCATATAATTACATTCATTTTTCTAAGTAGAGGTCAGATAAAAGTAGAAGATTACATTGAAAGACGTTTCTAAAAGAAATGATTTCTAAAGAGGGTCTGTTTGGGGCTTTTATGAATATATTGATGAGTTCTCATTAGCTAGATTAACCAGATGAGATATGATAACAATAAAATGAGCTATAAAGTGACTGCTGGTTCTCATTTGAGTATTAAGGGGGCAAGGTGAGTAACAAAGCTGCCTCCTATTATTGGTAAACAAACAATGGTTTCAGTGATTTTTCTTTTTGCCTTGGGCTTCTCTCCACCAGCTGCTCTGTGGGAGAGCGGTGGCTCTCTGCCTGCCCAGCTCTATGGAGCAGTTCTGCTCTGACCTCGGCAGGGGGGTTTGGTTTTGCTTTGGTATTCGATTGTTTTGCATCTAGGGACCATTTTGGCTAGAGGCTCTTTAAATTGGGATTTGTCCTGAACACAGATTTTTTGTTTTACTGAATAGACTACACCTTGAAAAGGAAAAAAGACATCTTTTGTATATCAAGTCAGCAGTCGTAAGTGGGAGTTGCAGAAATGAAAAAATTACGCTCCATTGGATGGGCAGTGCTACTTATTTTGGCATAAAAAACAAAACAAAAACCAGAAAGGGTACCTGAGGGGTTTCTCTGTCTGCTTTAAAGTTAATGCCCAGGCACTGTGAGCTGGGGGATTCTGCCCCTGGGAATGTTAATCTCAGCCTGCTCTGCCACCGTGTGTTCTATTGGGAAAATAAAAATTTCCCTGGAATGTGGTCAGCACAGTGTGTAAGATATTCCTCAGCGTTAGCATAGCTAACAAATGAGTGAAGCCTAAATGTGATATCCTTACGCACGTGTAGAATGATAAAGCCAGTTTTTATTCTTGGAACACAGAAACCAGAGCTTACAATCAGACACAATGATTCTAGTGAATCTAGCTACCGTCTCCATCGACCCCGGCCCCGAGGCTGTCTGATTCTGCATTCTGTTTGCAGCACTGGTTTTCACTGTTTTTCTCTCTGCCTGCTCCCTCGTTACAGGTGGTCCGTACTGAGAAGAACAGCTTGAACAACCGATTCTTGCCCTGGAATGAAATTGAGACCGAGGCCATCTTGTCTATTGATGATGACGCTCACCTCCGCCACGATGAAATCATGTTTGGCTTCCGGTGAGGGCCTGATTTGCCATCTAGAAACACAAGTTTGCAAGTAACAGAAAACTAACTCCAAATGAATCCCGTGACTGAGACAGTCATGGAGAAAACCACAGAGGTGTCGTAGGGCTCACTGGTCACTTGGCAGAGCCAGACCAAGGTCTGAATTGAGGTGGAAGGGCTTCGTTTCCCTATTTTGTGGTTTTCTGTTGACTCCGTTTTCCTGTAGACTCTCCAGGTGAGGCCACCCGGGACATAAAATTATGACTATCTAGAAAGGGATATTGTCCTGCTCCTCGAGCAGGGGGTAGGTCATCCTTAAAGCACACATCATGTGGCCTGGGAATAGGGGAGAGGAAAGTTGAGGGTTTGTTAGTAGAAGGAGGTATACCTCCTGGCAGGCAGAAGCAGCATGTTGCTAACTGTTGGGGCAATAGCATATTGTCAAAATCCTGAGACCCCAAGACTTGGGGAAAGATGAAGAAGGAAAGATCCAAAAGGAAGTGGAGGAGGAGGTACTGATGATGATGTTGAACCCATAGTATATGCCAGGGACTCGCTGAACACTTTTGCCTAATTGATCTCATCGAATCCTTTTCACACTTGATGGTGTCGGTAGCCTTTTCTGTTTTATGTGGGAGGATGTTGAGAGCCAAGAGAACAAAGCCATGGAGCTAGAAAGTCAGTGGCAGGCTTGTACAACTCCAGGACTTCCACTTCACCTCGTAGATTTTATGGTATCCTTGGATCTTAGTAGTTCTTGCTAGGGTGTAACTGTCCTGCTTGAGGAGGCATGTCCCGTTCAGAGAATGGAGGAGCCCAGGGCTTCCCCGTGTCCCATGGACTGCTGTGCTGGCCCATAGGCAGTGGTTACCTGTCCTCTGGAAGGTACGGTAAGTACAAAATTGAGAGAGTATTTAGAAACTTTTAAAGCAATTTGACATTTACCATGACTTTCAAGTGTGTGCTCATTTTCTCTGTAACAGTTTTAGTGGGAGTAGGGTTCACAAAATGTAGAATTCATCCATTAATAGGTTTTTAGTATATTCACAGTTCAGCACAGCTTAATCAATTTGAGAATCTTTTCTTCGCCCTGAGAGAAATCCTGTACTTTGTGGACTCATCTCCGTATTGCTCCCCAACCTCTCAAGCCTGGGCAATCACAATTCTACTTCCTATCTCTACAACTGCTTCTTCTGGCTGGACATTTTACCTGAATGGAATTGTATACCATGTGACTTTTTATGTGTTTCACTGAGTGTACTGTGTTTTATGTAAATGACAAAAATCACTTTTTTTGGCCAACTACCATATTTTCATAAGTGTGCTATAATTTATTTTACAGAAACTTGCAAAAAATTTAGGATGAATATTATTTGCATAAAAAGGGTAATGTTTTCAAAGTTGGCCTGTGTTGTAGCATGTTTCAGCACTCCATCCCTTTTTCTTGCTAATGAATTATATATACCACATTTTTTTTACCCATTATGGACATTTGAATGGTTTCTCCTTTTTTTCACTGTCATAAATAATCAATTATGAACATTTGTGTATAAGTTTTTGTATGAGTGTATGTTTTTATTCTGTTGGTTATGTGCTTCAGAGTAAAAATAAGTTTATTCACATATTAATGTTTCAATATTTTGAGAAGCTGGCAGACTATTTTCTTTTTTTTTTTTAGCAGACTATTTTCTAAAGCATCTATATCATTGCTATTTCTATCTGTGTTGAGAGTCCTAATTTCTCCACATCCTCTCACTGTTTATTAGCATCTAATTTTTGCTGTGAAAATTGGGTATTGAATCATGAAGACCGAAGAAGAATCTGTGCATTTGAATTGTGCTGGAGAGGAACACTGAGCATGCCGTGGAGTGCTAAAAATACAAGCTGATCTGCCTTGGGAGAAGTACGGCCAGAGTGCTCCTTAGAGGCTGGGGCAGGGAGACTTCATCTTACATACTTTGGGCATGTTGTCAGGAGAGACCAGTAACTGGAGAAGGACACCGTGCTTGGTGAAGCAGAGGGTTTCGTGAAAAAGAAGATGTGCATTAAGGGGACTGTGGGTCGGAATGAACTTTATGGCAACTAATGGCAACAACAACAACTTTGTGAGACAGCTATTCTAGTTGGTTGAAGTGGTGCCTCATTGTGGTTTGATTTGTATTTCTCTGATGGCCAATGATATGAAGTGTCTTTTTATGTGCTTACTAGACATTTGCGTATCTTCTTTGGAGAACTATATTTTTTGTCCATTTAAAAATGCTTTTTATGTCTTTTAAATTATTAAGTTGTAAGAGTTCTGTGGGAGAAACATGAGGCTTTCTACTCCTGTGAAGACTTATAGTCTAGGAAACTCACAGGGGCAGTTCTACTGTCCTGCAGGGTGCTGTGAGTCAGGATTAACTTGATGGCAGCGTGAAGTTCTTTAGGGGCCCTGCTGACTCAGTGGTTTAAGCATTGGCTGCTAACTAAAAGGTCAAAGGTTCATACCTAACAGCAGCTCTGCAGGAGAAAGATGAGGCGGTCTGTTCCTTTAAAGCTTTATAGCCTCAGAAACCCTGTAGAGCATTGGTACTCTGTTCTATAGTTTCTGAATTGGAATCAACTTTGATGACTGGGGTTTTTTTTTTGTTTGATTAAGAGTTCTGTTTAATTCTAGGGGCAAAGGCTTTATCAAATACATTAATTAGCTAATATTTTTTCCCCAGGCTTGTAGTATTAAGTAAAAAAATTAATTGACGCATAGGGAGGGTGAGGGAACCAGCCCCCACCCGCTGATTACTCCTACGAGTTCAGTAATACTACTTCTGGGTTCAGTAATGCACAATTGTACAGTTGAGATATATAAGCATTATATTAAAGTCATCGAGAGCATGAGAGATAATACAATAATACAGTCAGGCATGATACATAGCAACATTGCTCACCTCAGCCCGGCTTGATGGTCCTCGTGGAGGGGGCTTAGCCGTCAGGGAAGAAGCCGCTGCTTCATCCTCCTTAGTCACCTTCTCCAGCCACCCTCTGGCCAGCCACCCTCGGCCAGCCACCTCTTGGGAGTCGCCTCTCTTGGGAAGCAGCTCTCCTTATTTATTGCTAACCACGTATCATATTACTTTAGGGGGATACATCACAGCATCATGCATCATAGAGAGGAGCAATACAATTCATCCTTGAACAGGTTTGACCATTCTGGTGTCTCATACAATAAAGCAGGCAGTTACTATCCTGGGAGGCATGCAAGCCATAGGAGGGGGATGACCTAGGGGTGAATGTGCAATAGTAAGAGGAGGGAATAGGGGGGCATGTGTGGTAAGATAGTAACCTAAACTTAGTCATCTTAAAGTGGTCCCGGGCATGCCTATAGGCACTGCTTCAAGGGAACAATAACTGAAAGGAATGGGCCCTATTTGGGGTGAGTCAGTCTGGCCGCTCTAGATGGCTGATGTTAGGGAGAATAACCTCTGACCCACTTTCGCTGCCTAAAGAACAGTCATTACCAAGCAGCTAAGTTTGGTACATATTTTGGGGAGACAACTTAAGAGAAATCTTTCTGTTCCTCACACAGGCTATGGATAGCCTTTTCATTTTCTTGATGGAAACCTTTGAAGCATAAACGTTTTCAATTTTGATGAAGTCCAATTAATCTCTTCTTTGTTGTTTGTACTCTGGTGTCATACTTAGAGAAACCATCCAATTCCTTTTTGTTACATTGGATGAAATTATTAACTCACAATAAATTTTGGGAACTCAGTTGTTCTTCACCAGACATAATTTGAGAAATGTGGGATTTGTTTTCAGTAGAGGGATTGTGCAGATTAAATCTGGAGAACTACTTTGCTTTCATTCCATGCACGCAAGGTGAACCTGACCTCCCTAGCTCTAAGGCAGGGGTCCTCAAACTTTTTAAACAGGGGGCCAGTTCACTGTCCCTCAGACCCATTGGAGGGCTGGACTATAGTTAAAAAAAAAAAAAGAACAAATTCCTATGCACAGTGCACATATCTTTTTTTGAACTTAAAAAAAGGGGGGGGTGGGCAAAACACCTGGCGGGCCGCAGTTTGAGGACCCCTGCCTACGGGGCCTTTTGGTTTAGGTTTATTAGGTTTAGGTGAAAGTAATCATAGCATTCTTGCTTTGTCTTAATCCACCTGTGGGGAATAAGTTGCTACATTCCTGGTATTTCTGAGTTTCAGCTCCTCCTCTTCCCACCCAACTTCTCACGTTTCCTTTGACCTCCATCAGGTATACTACAGAAGCAAGAATTTATTGCTAGATGCGATGAAAAAAGGAGAAGGAAAAAAAGAAAACTTGCTTAAACTTAGAGATGTTTCTTTTGTATCATGATAGTTAATAGCTCTCTCCACTCACTTTTTCCCCTTACCATTTTCATTATATCTCAAAATGTGTATGAATGTGTGGGTTTTTGAAAACTAGATTCATTATAAACAGTTAATAATACTATGAATTTTTATGCTCAAATCATTACAGATTTGTTATTGGGAGCCTCTCTGAACTAGTTCCTCTTCTTGACTTATCCTCATTCATGTCTACTTGCTTTAAGGAAAGGCAAAAATCCATGTAATGATTCAAAAAAGTCTAAACAAATCCAAACGTCTGTGAACTGGGAAATGGATGAACAGAATCTGGCATGTCCAGAAAGTGTTTTATGATTTTACAATAAGAAGAAACAAAACATTCCCACTCTTTTTCGCGTTGTTGGATTACAGAGACCAGGTTGTTTTGCAGGAATCAGTATTATGCAAAAGTGCACGATGACCATCAGATCACTAGATGGAGCTTGACTATGACATTATCAAACTTCCACATTACCTCATTACGGAACTACCAAACCACTGCGAATTATGGTCCAGCCAGTGTAACTCTTACTTCCTGAGACCTCTGTGTTCGTTACTGCCAGACATCCCTTTGTTAGTGTGCAAAAGAGTCCCATGGTAGGTTGTTTGACTACTGTCATAAATATTGGAATAACAAAGTAGTCCATAAGTAAGGTGCCG